AAGCGTACAACGCTCGCAAGAAGTATTTTCAGGAAGTTTTACATCGGCTTGAAAGTTTTCACCAACTTTATCTGCACAATTATCAATGGTACTAATGGGTTTAAAATCAGTATCTTTTCCGGTTGTTGACAAATCGACAAAACAAGTACCCTCCAAAGCATTCTCAATGTCCCATTGAACGTTTACGACTTGATTGGTAGTATATGTTGTTAAAACTTTTCCAGGACCTACCTTGGTTCCACAAGGGTAATGTTTTGCTGGTGAGCGTGCATTTCGGAAGTTATTTTTTGCATCATTCTTTGTAAGGCGGATTTCTGGTAATGTCATACGACCATCGGCAGCTACGTTGATAGCAAGGAATAATAGGACGACGAGGAATATTTTCATGGTAAAGGAAAATGATGGTGATGATGTGGATGATGTTGAGGATTTAGGGAAGGATTTGTTTGAAAATGAATGTGTAGATAGCGCAGACATACTTTAAAAAATTTTTGATTTATATGAAATATAATTTAGTTGTAATTGAAGTAATTGTAATGAAAGTCTTTATCAAAGTTGTAAAAACTCTCCTGAGAGTATGTTGCAGTATCGTTAAACTTGCTTAACTAGATTGATGATTTTAAGTAAAAAGAATGAAATTAAAAATGAATGTGAAAAAAAAAAAAACATCGTTAAGCTTTATTTATATAGATATGCGAGTATTAATAATTCCTATAATTGATTAAAAAGAACTTACTGATTAATCGAAATCGTGAAACATTCTTTGTAAATTAACAAAGAAATTAAAACAGAGATGAATTCTGTTTTGTGTACTAAACAAACTTGTTTTCCGTTTTTGGCAAACAGAGTAATTAAATTCTTGCAGTACAATGCTTGCTATACACAAATTTATATATTGGTGCATTGTTACTAAATAATTAATTTTTTGAAGATCTTTTGGTTCCTCATATAATGTTAATAATTGTCATATTATATATATGATTTTAAGCCCAATAATTTTAATATTTCAATATATTTGAGGTTACACAAACAAATTAATGAAAATTTTCTTGCAAATATAATTTAAAAAAACGAAATAAAATTTGAACATAGGATTCTATTGCCAAAGATAGGACAGGAAAATACCCATTATTATTTGTTAAATAAAGATTGTCGATTTTAAAAATTAATAAAAGTTGTGGTACTTTTAGATTGTAAACGAGAAAGGAATAATTTAAGATTTAGGAAGTACACATATTTTAATTTAATTTAATTTTAAGATAAAAGATTGGTTGGTTTATTTTCAACATATTAATACACAATTAAAAATAAAAGTTTTGCGGGATCTTCATTCTGATCGCAAAAAACGAATCTTTCAAATAATTTAAATCTTTTTGCGTTAAATCCTAAAAATTTATCATTATTATTTTCTTTTGAGGAAAAAAGTTCAACATAGCAAATATTGAATAATTAACACGACGTTCTGATTGGTTCACTGTTCTAGTAAACTTGTTAAACAAAATAGAGTTAGGTTGGTGCTAATGGCACCTAATCTAATTTTGTTAATTGAATAATATTTGATAAGAAAATGTCGTTCCTCCAAAATCTGTTTTAGTATCAATGTTTACGAGCTTTAATAAAGACAAAATATGTTGTTCTATTCTATTCTGTCAAAAAGACAATTATGTGGTAAATGATTGTAAACAAATATTTGGTAAAATGACTAATTTGTCCTCTATATAATACTAATTAAAATGGATTATTATTGATTAATTAGTTTTCGCTCTTCTACAACGATTTTTCTGTCACCACAATTATTGTTATTATTTTTTCTAAAATCATAATTATTTTGAGATACTGTTGTGTATAAATAACAAGAAGAACAAAGTACATCGATACAAAGAAAAAGGCATAATAAAGATTTAAAATCTAAATAATGCATTAATATTTATAATATTTTTCTTTCAATCAAATACATTTAGGTAAATAATTGTACAATTTCAATACATCATGAACTGGTGGAACATTTAACAACGCTTAACGTGGTGAAAAAATAGAATCATAAATAAACATAGGATGCACTTGCTAATGCAAAAATGGAGAGATATAAGGAAATTAACAGTCAATGTTCTACATAGTAGCATATACATGACGCACACATGCAAACTCGATAAGTAGGAGACGCAGGGGCGGGCACATGTGACTGACTAATGGGGTAAACATAAATAACTAAAACGTATAAAATTATTTATTATGAAAAATTTCTAAGGTAGATTGCTTTAAAAAGGAGCGTTTTGCTTTCTTCTGATTTGATGCTGCAAGTTTCTCATTTCTGGTACTACTACTATTAAATTATTTTACCTTATATCGGAATTTTGCTGCAAATAGTTGAATTTTGAATGCCATCTAGAACAATTGTATTTGATATTAGAAATATCCATATTTTTGTCCTCTTCTTCTTCTGACGCTTTTTGTACTGCAGCAATTATCTCCATCGTTCATATTCTATAATCAACAAATCATCTATTAATTAATAAACAAGTACATTCAGTCAAAGCTTTTTTCAGTTGATTCTCAGCTCCATATGTAATTTTTTATTTTTTTCTCCATTGCAACGAGGGACAGTTAATTACAAAAATATATAAAAAAAGTTTACTATAACGCGATTTACTGTTGTCCACTTCAACGAGTTTTGACTGTAAGTGATTTTTTATTTATCACTTATCGTAATTAATCCAACTATACTCAGTTGGAAAATTGCGATAAGCACTGAGTTGATTAACCACTTATATAAATTGACCAACTTATCAAATTTTTTTAAATATCAAAAAAAAGGGTGGCGAGTTAGGCCAAAACCGACTTATCAAGTTTACATGTGTATTATGAAATTGGAAAATTCCTAATTTATTATATTGTACGATTCACTATACAGTATATCCCAGATCCAGATTTATAATAATATTAATATCGCATTTCGAACATCCTTCAATTTAAAGAAAAAGAAAAAAGAAATGCCGCTTAGCATTAGAAACTATTAATATGACATATTTAAATCTTTTTCTTCACTATCCAGGCTAACAATTACCATATGTTTAAATATTACAAAAAAGTTTATTTATCAAAAATTCTAATTAACTTTTAGAAATCAGGTTATTAGGAACTAAAAAACCATTTATAATGTCAAATAAAACCTCCCATTCTATTGAACTAAAGAAGAATCTAACTCTGGCACAAGTAAATAAAAAGGCGGATATGAGTCACAATTAATATCAAGAATGGTTGACGAATTATATATGACGAAAATCATATTTATTATTATCGCCGAGTGTCTTTTGACGAAATCAACGAAATTTATCCGGCCAATAAAATCAAGTTTGAACAATTCATCTAAATGTTTATGCTCTATATTTCATTGATGATTTACTAGAAACTGATTCACTACGTAAATTGTGTTTTCTAAGAATGATTTTGGTTTATTTTTAGATTTAGTCTTTGGTTCCAGAATATTATCAAGTTTTCCTTCTGAATTTCCAGTATTTAAATCTCCGAAATCATATTTTTATAAATCCTCATGATTCTTCATTTTGTGAATCATAGTAAATATTATTTACTTCATCTTCTAAGTAAATGAATAATTATAAATGAAAAAAAAATGGGTATAAAATAAATCATTAAATGTATATTATTAGGATACATATTATTATTACCTTCATGATTTATTTCATCATTATATTTAAAATTAATTATTTGGGATTATAATTTAAACCTTGAGTTAAACCAATTTGATTAGATTCAAACTCGGGTGAAAATGCTTCAAAACAATTAGTAGTATTGCTAATTTGTAATAATGGTTCATTTAACTGAGCTAAACATACATTGTTATCATTGTCTTCATCATCCTCACAATTACTGTCACCATCATTCTCTTCATATTTAACACTATCTTCGCCTTCATTTATTTCATCAAAATCTTGTCAATATCTACTTCAAGATCTGTAATCACATTTCTAATTTCTTCTTTCGTTAAGTTGTTTCCATAATATTCTATTTCTATACAGAGGTCCAATAAATTCTGCTATAATTTTTTAAAGAATCGCCTTTTATATAGAAGTTTGCCTAACTACTAAATTTCGGTAATAGTTTGGTTTTTAAGCAAGAAACTTTAGGCACAATTATTTTTGCTGAAACTATAAAATGTGCAAGCATTTTGTGTAACTAATGATTCATAAAGCATATAATGATAATATTACTTTACCAATAATTAATGTCAGTGTTGGCATTAATTATTGTTATATATTATTAACATTAACAATTTAATAATAATGATTTAATTTAAATAATTAAACCCGTCTATTAAATAACCTTTTCACGAAAAATTTTTTTTTTTTGGATTACCATGTGATATATCACTTGTGTGTGTGGGATATTTTTATAATAAAAATTTATTAATAGTTACTTTGAAAAAATTTTAAAATAATGGTAACCGAACAAGGAACATCAAATCTTTAGATAATTATTTTCAACATGAAAAGGATGATATAAATGAAATTTCATCAATTACACTAGAATTGTTAAATAACAAAAGAAAACATGCTGGCAATAGACCATTGTCGGAAGTTTGGACCCATTTTACAAAGGAGATGAAAAAACCAAAGGCCATTACGAAGCAACTTGTAAATATTGTCATCAGAGATGGGATAGAGCTTATCCTAGTAGATTGGAAATTCATCTAGCATATCAATGTATTGAGTTTCAGCGTTCATTTGTAGTTTCGGCACAGCGATTGAGTTTCGACAAAGTGACTAAGTTTCAGATTATTAGTTTCTATAACCTTTTTTTTTCTGAGTTTTGGCATCATCACATTTTTATTTTAGGCAAACTTCTATAACCTTTTATATTACATCTACTTATAGCTTCATTGAAAAAGAGATCCAGCATAATATGATTTTTTAAAATATTTGGCAATTGAATTACAATTTGATAATAATTGCTTTACAAATTTTATATCTTTGGATATTAAATTGATACAATGGGTGATCCATCTAAGGAAATTTTTCTGATATTATTTTTCTTGTCTCCCATAAATTTGCAGCAACATCTTCAATTTGATTGGCAATATAATCAGACATATGGTTTCTGAAGAAAAATTCTTCAATTGATATAAAAATTGTTTTCTGGTAGGTATGTGAATAATAAAATTCCAAACTGAAAAGAAGGGACCCGAACACTTTACCAACACCCACTTTACCGACAGGACACTTTACCGACAATCAAGTAAGGTTTCTATCCCAAACTGTTTCTGAGTTTAACATTCAAAATCATTACTCTTTTTTTTTCATAAAAATTCAATAAATAAAATAATTAAATCTTTTCTCTCGCATTTGAATACTTTTAAACATAAATTCATCACAATTATAATAAATCAATTAAATGTTAATAAATAAATTTAATAAAATAACATGAAGTCCGAATATGCAATTTTATCAATTTCGTCAGACAAAAAAAAAATATTGCACATGTATCTATATTGTATTTTTATGAACTGGTTTTTGATGCAAAGTAAGGATAATAAGTTGTGTTATTAGTTAATGTTTTGTAGGGCAAGGTAAGTACTCGATCAACAGTTGATTTAACTTGTTTGTAAAAAACCAAACTTTTAGCTTCTACATAGAGTTATCCAGGTCTTCACACAGTCCTTGGCAAATTGTTAACAAAATGCTTGTCGGTAAAGTGTCCTGTAGGTAAAGAGATCCAGACCCCTAAAGAAGTATTTCTAAGAGATGACCAGCCATCAAGCGCTAAAAAATATTTATTATAAAAATATTTACCATATTTCAATCCAAAATAACCCAAAATAAATTAATTTTACCTAGTGTTGAATTTTCAGCCTTTTCTAATATTGAATTTATTTTTTGATTAATATTTCAACTTCTATATTTAACAATCCTTGTGATGATACTTAACGGAGGCTGGTATGCTGGTCATAATCATTTTAGAATGAAATAGAGATGCTCAATTACATGAAAAGGAATATTGCAGCAGACAAATGCCTTGATTAAAGATCTGTTGATTGAATTTTCACATTCATTTGTTAAAGCTATACTTTCATAAATGAAGGAATATTAGTTTGTCAACTAACATTAGGAATTTTTTTGTAAATTTGCTTTTGTTTTACTTAATTCTTCAAGACATTTTTTTCTGGTTTGAGAACCACAATTCATACAATAGTTTGCTAAATTGTTAATAATTTTTGTGATTCTCCACGACTATATGATTTAGTACAATACTTACATTTTGCACTATAATGGTCTTTAGAATTCTTTTACTTGTATTTTTGAGAAATGTTGCCAAACTTTAGATTGAGGTCGTCCTGTTTGAGTTGATCTCATCTGTTGTGACAATGAATATGGTGTTTCTTGATCATAATGACAAAGACTCCTTGTAAGTGAACATACAATTAAAAAAGTATTTTTGGTACCCACATAGATCATTGATAACGGTTTGGCGAAATAATTTCCCCATGCCTGCAAAGTATTTGGTTGACTATTCTTGGTCACGATTTACAAAACTTTTAAATGTAAAGAAATATTTTTATTATCGAGAGCGATTTACTTATGATCCTTCATAATATTTTCCTGTTGCATTTCTCCTTCTGTAGTACTGCTAATCCGTTGTTTATTGTAAATTCGAAAATCTCAGTTCGTCTATGGTGCATAATTTCATCAAAAGGAGGCATTCATATCAAGAAAAGTAAAATAATATAATAGATAAAGGCGGTTCGGTTTAGGATTCTCTGCAAAAAATAAAAATAGTAAAAAAGCAAAATTGCTATAGCTATTAGCTTAATTCAACTTAATTTTATTTAAAAAAGAATAGATGATTTATCACCTGACTTTAATAATTTGGGGAAACAAACCCACATGTAGCGATATAAATAATGCATAATAATAATAATATATATTGCAAATCATTAACATAAAATATAGTATTGTTTTCCAAAACAGTATATTAATATTGCAAAATTAGTTTAACTTTCGCCTCTTCAAAATGGTTTTGGCGACCGACACTAAATAAGTAAAACAAATCAGACCTCATTTGAACAAAAAAAAAATAAATCAACTTTATTTGAATATTTCTTTTTTTATTTCTTTGGAAATTTTAGATCTCACTTATTGGGTTTCGAGGAGTAGAAAATGTGTACCATACTGAAGCCATGTGAGTACCGTGCTGGAGAAAAATTAAATAAAATAAAAAACCAATCAGCAAGTGCGCACTGAAAAAGTTAGTACGGTACTCACTTGTCTTCAATATGGTACGCATTTTCTATATATCCTTGGGTTTCTGTGGTTAAAAACTAGAATTTATCGTAAATTTTCACGACTAAAATTAGTATTTATATATTCAATGGGTCAAATTCAACCAATATATTAAAATTCTTGTCAATACTTTTCCAATAATTTTTTTTAGTCGCACAGGAGAAGTATAAGAGCCAATTTTTTATGTTTTGACATAGTGGTAAATAAAATATTTGGAAATAACGCTTAGATTTAACGAATCAAGCAAGTTACTTGGTAACAATCAATATAAAACTTAGGTAGGTCATTGATTGATAACTTTACTCTCCCGGGAGGATATCTTATATACCTTATATAGTTATAAATATAATGGTAGAAAATATTTAATTCACAAATGCGAAGATTTTTCAATAATTGGGAAAATTATTGTAAAAACAGTTGTCATTATCAATGATTTCACAAATGCGAAGCCTTTACCAAATATATAATCATTGTGACGATATTGTAAAAATGTCATTCATCAGGAAAATAAATCTTACATAAACCTACGTAGGGTTCAGAATTGGCCAGCATTATGTCGATATTTTGGTAATTCTGTTAACATTTCCGCATAATGCTGGTCAGTTTTAAACCCTGCGTAGGTTTCCATGAGATTTATTTTCCTGATGTACTACAATTAGCCGAAAGTAATGTTATTTGGCAAAATATTTTAGAATTATCAAAAATAACAAAAGCAGAAACATCGATTTAAGTAAAACTCTTAACGCAAGTTAAAACTCTTGAATTAAGTAAAAAATCACGACTTGAGTAAAAAATATTGAACTTTCAATTCACTTTAATATGTTTTCATATCTTTAATATTATCATCAATGTTTGAATAAATTATTAATTGCCTAAACTCATTCTCAGAAAGACTGACAAATATACCAGATCTCTTTTTTGGTATTAGAAAGATGGTAATTATGAATTTTTGCAATATTTCCAAATTAAATTTTACTGTGCAATCGATTAATCGAAAAACTTGTGTAATATAATTGATACTTTTTCACCCTTAATATTGTTAATTATATTCTTCATTAACACTGTAATTCTAAAACCATTAATTATCTACGTCTTCATCTACGAATTCTATCATCACAACAATACAATAACAACAATTTATCCTTCATCTGCTTCTTCTAACTATTTTCTGGTGCTACGATTAAGTTTTGTAGTATATAAACTTGTGAATATTTTATTTATTATGGTGTAAGTTTATTATTAAATATCAAATAATATTATACAATAAATATGGTATGATGACAATATTATTTATTTGCCTACTAGTCTTACTACTTATGAATAGATTCTTTATTATTCAAAACTTTCATCAGGAAAATAAATCTCATGTAAACCTACGCAGAGTTTAAACTGACCAGCATTATGCGGAAATGTTAACAGAATTACCAAAATATCGACATAATGCTGGCCAATTCTGAACCCTGCGTAGGTTTATGTAAGATTTATTTTCCTGATGTAAAATGAACAAAAAAGAAATACTTTCTTAAAATAAACTAATTTTCCAGTGATATTTACATAAAAGTCGTATATAATAAATATAGTAAATATTAAATATCAACATTAATATAATTTTTGACTTGATTACTATTGCTTTAGAATTTTTTTGACAAAAGCAGCAATGAATTATAAGAATTCTTGATAGTTTAAATGAGATCCACACATATTAAATTGAGACAGGCGGGGTTTAAAATCAAAATTTAAACTTCAATTATATACAGTCAAAGCTCGTAATTTGAATGTTTTAAAGAAAACAGAAATTGGGATGGAGGAATGGCAAAAAAATACAAATATTACATATAGAACCAAGGGGTTCGCTTTAAACATCGACTTTACTCATTTTATTAATAATTTGGAAATTTATTTTGGTCATAGATCAATTTGTTCTAAATTTATTGGTTATCAAAAATTACACACCGTATATATTAAAGAACATGTATAACCACAAGAATAAAAAAAAGAAAATATAAACAATTGCGGATAAAAAATATAAAAATATGCTATAATATGCTAAAATATTCTAAAATATGAATAAGATGTAAAATATGAATAAGATGAAAAATACATGAAATGAAATCAATCTTGTGTGTATATAAAATTGCATGTGTGAATGTATATGTATATATATAAGTTGTATAATGATATAATTACAAGCCAGTTGATTGCTTCTATTGGCAGTACTATCTATTTACACCCATGGCATCTTTTTCTTTTTCTCATCTTGGGTGCACTTTTTTGTTGGGTGGTAAGATAGAAATGTCGGCGCAATTTAAATAAACTTCTTTTGATAAATGTGGAACCCATCTAAAACGAAGTGTGCAATGTTCGCACGATATATGTTCAGGAAGTTGTACATTGACTTGAAAGTTAGCAACTTGGTCCTTTAGATTTTCCTTCTTGTTTTTTAGTAAAATGAATCCACACATTTGAGGAAGGTCTACCAGATAATTTATTTTGTGGATCCGACATTGTCTTAAACAATATTATCTCATGAACTTACTATTGGGTATAAAAAGAAGGTGGAAGTTGCTTGTAATTTGAATAGTTTATGGTCGTTTTATTAATTTCAATTCAAATAATTTTTAC